AGATGGTCGAAGGCGTGGGCTCAGGAAACAAAAAGAAAATCAAAAAAGAAGAGTGTAGCATACGTGTAGTATAGGAATAATCCTACACCGTATCGGTAGCTGACTGTGCGACTATTCGCGGAAGCGTACGGGTAACCGTACTCGGCGACCGGAACGTGAGACGGCAGTCTCGTTCGCGTCGCGTGAGCCTGCAATCTCATCCGAGGTCAGAGGCGGCGTGGTCTGCTGATCTGGACGTGAGACTATCGTCTCGTCCGTAGACGGTGCAGATGACGCGTGCTGTTGACCGGGACGTGAGAATGAGGTCTCAGATGTATCTAGCGTGGGACCTGAAGATTTAAGGATCCCGCTAGGTTTAATAGGTCTAGCATTGAATCTCAGGTTACCAGATAGGGCACTGTCATCGACGTGTGCTGGTTTGAGACGATCAACGCTGACGATCTCGACGCGTCCATGTCGATCAACCTTGAAGGTCTTTTCGTGACGAGCGATCACGTGAAAAGGGCCTTCGTAAGGTTGTTGCCAAGGTTTGCGTACCGAATCTACTCGTACAAAAACATGTGAACAGGTAGATAACTCTCGAGGGAGAGCGACCTGTCGATGTTGTATTCGAGTTGACACCGGAGACAGCGTTCACATAAATGCAGACAGTCGACGGACGTTGTCTGATTTACCGAAATTAGGTCTGCTCCGTGGTGTGAAGGATTCTCCGGGCAGACGCAATGTCGTGCCGTATACAAGTTCAGTGGCGGAACATTGGATATCTGCCTTTAAGCTCGTTCTCCCCCTAAAAGAACGAGCGGTAAGGTTTCGTGCCAGTTGCCGTTTTCGTGTGCTCGTAGAACACTTTTAAGTTGGCAGTGAAACTGTTCAACTTAACCATTTGGTGCTGGGTGGTAGACGGATATGCTTATGCGTATGCATTCCGTACCAAGCAGCCGGGTCAGCGAGGAGAATCGTTAATAGGGTAACATTTCTCGAATAAAGCGTGGAATTCATCATCACGCGAATAAAAAGTGACAAGGATTCGGTACACATACGTGTGAGTCTATTATATTAATACTATTCTTATCGTTATCCGTCATGTCGCGTATATTATATATTAAAAAATATGAAAATATACGACAGACGTGGATAGATAAATCATAGACTCACCGAATTGGCTTCTTTGGAAGATCAGATCAGAAGCTGCTGCGTGTTCGGAACGTCGGGTCACCAAATGTAGTCGAATTGGGATTACCAATTGTAGCGTGGCGTCGAGTTGAGATTAACTATGAACACCGCTACCAAGAAACACGTGCCAATTAGATCAGAAGGCGTAAGAAGCTCGTTCCAAATGACTCCATAAAATCCCCGAGAAGCCGAATACCAGAAGGCAATTAATGGACCAAGTCGAGGTTTATTTGCTGGCGATCTCGTGGCATCGAAAGGATACCGAGATCGTGCCAGGATACAAGCTTGGTTACAGAACGTAACCGAATTCGCGCGAAGTTACAATCAAAGTGTAAGTAAAGAATGGAAGAACAAAATAGCTGTCATTAGCACAGTCAAACAAAAGCACATTAAAACAGTCACTGGTACACTTGGTTATAATAATAATTGTTTTTATTAAACCAGTCGTGTTCTCGTGATAAATGTGAGTCACTACAAAGGTATCCCGTCAGGTCCACCATCATAAGACTTTTTCAGGGCAGCTATGGCCTGCTTGATGTTAGGGGGTATAAAATCAATTTTCGATAGATGTCTGGATGTCAGCATTGGAGATGTAATGATAGAGCTTTCAGTTCTAGTTTTTAAGCATTGCGAGAGGTGTTTGCTGAATTGTTCGCAAATGGTATTCGGGTCGTCAACAATGCTTCCGACAACTATGAAGAATTTAGTCGTGCCAAGGGAATTTGACTTCACACGGGATTTAAAAAGCCGAAGTATTGATAATTCTGGGCTTTTACTACGTAGGGCTTTATTTTCTATATTCATAAAATACTTACGTTTAGATGAAGCATTTCTGTCGATTAATTTAAGTATACTCTGAAGTGCATACACGTCATTCTGCTCGTAGTAGCGGCATTTTAATTTCCTCACCTTTCTTTTAAAAGTATTCTGGCCCCTATTAGCATTATAAGCCACATGGCCAATAACTGGAGCAGTGCAGTCAAGGCAATATATCAGGTTGTGGTATAGATCGGAAAGCGCAATGTCAACATTATTTGTGGTAAAATAAGTTTCCCACGGTAAGCACCGAATAAGAGTTCCAGTCCGTTTCCAGGTTTTCTGATCAAAATGTCTGCTCTGGCACATCATTGAAGCTTTAGAGTTCAGTTGTATGGCGTTTAGAGAATGAATAATACTCAATACAACTCTATGATCACTCATAAAAAACTCATGAGTGCCATGCACTGAGATAGAGTTTATATTGATTGTAGACAATAAATCAAGTATATTATTCCCCCTATTTGGTTCTCGGACCTGTTGGACCAATCCACAATTTTCTAGTGCTTCAATCAGCTTGTTATTTCGACCTGGCACAGGAGTCGAACCCCGTGTAATTTGTGGTAGAATAAAATCACCTCCGATGATTTCAAAAGTATGTGGTTGGCGCGAAGCAATGGAGGTGTTTGTTAGTAATCTGTCAAACTTAGTATCCGCATGAGATGGTCTGTATATGTATCCCACCAGTAGATAATTTTGAGATCTACAGTTTACAGTAACCCAATTGGAGTCGTCTATAGCACCAAGAGATTTATCCTCGAATTTGCACGCTTGGATGTCTGAACGGACATAGATAACTGTACCGCCTCTTAATCCATAACATCTATCGGTTCTAAAGAAAACGTAGTTATCTACATTCAAGGAGTGATGGGATATAGATGAATTGCACCACGTTTCCGTAATAAGTACAACGGTTGGATTTACAAGGAATAAAAGAGTTTTAAGATGAATAATTTTATTGGACAGAGCGGGCATAGAACTAAAGAATAAGAAACTCAGAGTTATCATAGTGAAGCAGGTTAGAGTATAAATCACAATTGGTAGTTCCATGAATACTCGCAGGATTGGTTAAGGTAAGAGTTGAGTTGCGAGGGGAAATAGATCCAACCATTTTGTCATCATGTGAAATAGTACTAACTGAGAATCCCAGAAATAACTCAATTGGATCCAGAAGTACTATATAACCACAAACGAATGTACTGTATTTGGAATTCGAAATCAAGCATTCAAAATGTACAGAGGAATCGTTAGTTCGTACAAACACCACAGTTTATCAATAATAAGGATGTCTGCGGATAGAGTTAGAACTACAAGACACTGGCATCTTCTGTTCTACACCTTTGTTACTGACCACACCACGGAGAACCAGATAGGTCATATTTGTGTCAATAGAAAATTCCGAAAGACTATGGAAGACGTGAGAACCAGGAGAGGAGCTGACATAGCTTCAGATCACCACTTGGTGGTTATCAAGGTGAAACTGAAGCTAAAAAACACTGAACAACTGGGGAAACAGCATTACAAAGGTTCAATTAAGACTACCTACGAGATACTGACAAATTCAACGAATTCAAGATATTCTCAACAACAGGTTCCAAGCCTTACAGGATCTACTGAAAGAAGAAGAAACTACTATGGAAGACAACTGGAAAGGTATCAAAGAAGCATTAACTTCAATATATCAGTAGGTTCCGGGCCGCAAGAAGAATCACCATAATGAATGAATCTCCATCGAAACCCAAGGCAGGATTCAAGAAAAGAAGATCAAGAAGAAAACAATTAACAACAGTTGAACAAGAACAGAGAAAGTCATGGCGCAAGCTGAATACACTGAAGCAAACAAACGAGTGGAGAAAAGCATTACGGCCGACAAGCAGAGATACGTCGAAGACCTACTAACGGGAGCGGAAAATGCTGTAAAAAAGAAAATATCAGACAACTATATGACACCACGAAGAAACTGGCGAGCAAATATAGTAAACCAGAGAGACCAGTCAATGACAAAGAAGGCAAACCAAACAATGAGATCCAAGAACAAAGAAACAGGTGGGTGGACCACTTCGAGGAACTCTTGAATAGATCAGCCCCATTGAATCCACCAGACATCGAAGCAGCACACAGACCCTCCAACAGGTGTCACTCTACCAGCAATCGAAGAAATCAGCATGGTCATCAGACAAATCAAGAGTGAGAAAGCAGCAAAACCTTTAGGGATACCAGCCAAAGCACTGAAGTCGGACATAAAAACAACCGCAAACATGCTACATGTTCTATTTAGGAAGATTTGGTGGGGGATAACAAGTGCTGACAGAATAAAAAGAAGGATACAGCTGCACAAGCTACTGAACTCACCAGTCACAAAGCCTATGCACACTAGTGGTATGGAATCAGTGTTTTCCAACTTCATATCTTGGTTTACCGTATCCAGAAACCCAGTACGAATGCTAGTCGTCCGTCTTTCATCACCTCATCGCCATAGCTGAAACCGCCATAAGAACAGTTGGTAGAACTTCTCTTTAAACGCGCGGCCATATGAAAGCACTAGGAGGAAGACCGCAATCTTCTCACTCTCGGCAGTAACATGGCTCTTAGGGGTGACTTCTCCTATATGTATTGAGCTTGTTTATTGTTAGGCTATTCAGCACTATACTGTATGCACAATACCTGATTCTTTATCCTATAAAGGCATTATTGATAACCAATACTAGGCTCCTGATAGTATAGTCCTTATCCTATTACTTTAAGGAGAATTGTCAACTACTTCACTGTATGTCATATTTAAAAATGGACATTAATACGACCTGGAAGAGCGCTTTATAACAGTCTAGTAACACAACCATTCTATACAGTTGACCTACTACCAGTTACGAAAGCGATGAATCCTTTCCACAGATTATGTAAAGGACTTTAGGGAACAATTTCAATCTTCATCAGCTGTATTCGGATATATGTCATCAATGACCAAATTATCCTTGATATTTCCCGTTCTAAGAGAACATAAGAAACTGCAGTGCATAAATTATAGTATATTTTGGTACAAAAAACAATTTAAACACAAACATATCAAACAAAAACAGTTGCTAGAAAAATAGAATCTAATCGTGAGAACTCGATCCAGTTTAATATTAGATTAAAATAACATCGCCACCTTCTACATATGGCCGAATGCAACTGTATGGTAGGAGATGTTGAGCGCCAGGTTCCAAGGTAAGTGATACCGCACTGTAAACAAGAGGAAAACACTAACTTAACAAACATTGTTTGAAATAGATGTCCTTACTCGCCGATTCAGCACCATAAAAAACTAAGTTGATATCGGTCAAATTTTAACTCCTAATTATTTTTAAAAACTGGATAATTTAGAATACAACTTACGTTTGAGTTCCATCTGAACTATGATCGAATACTTCTATAAAATCAATTTTCTTCAGTGACTGACAAAATACATAACTGTTTGGGTTTGGATGAAAAGCTTAAAAAAATAATAGAGTGAATGCATTTTAGTTGACAATTAAATTACAACAACAAACATATATCTCAAACAATGACACATTAAGGAATTTAAATAAAGCTAAACAGAAGAGTTATACAACTGCTGTACATTGACAAATAAACACATTCAAGTACCGTTGTTAAATGTTACTAGTGATAAGCTTACTGTGAAATACTAGGGGCACTGATTTGCACAAGATATGAAGCGGTAAGTAGAACACTAGGCCAATCAGATATTAACCAGAAGATAAGTGAAAGATGCTGACGTGTGTACACTTTTGTCCAAGATCTGGATTGACGTTCTGAGGAAAGAGTCATGGGAGATTGTTTGAAAATGCAGTTTAATTTTCTGAAGGAAATACATATTTTCGATCGAAGCTTTTGATTTTTTTTTTTTTCATTTAGGTAACTGGTTATGATTGTCAAAAAGAGTGTTTATACCAACCACGGAATATAATGGTTAGGAATACTATGTAGCTAACATAACTACGATAAAGGTTGGAGAAATTTAGTGCAAAAAGGCGATAGTTTCAAGTTCAGAGTTCTGGAACCAGTAAAATACAAGCTTTATTTATTAGAGCCGATATCTTGTCAACACATAAGCAACAATAAATATAGCGTATGAGGAAAAAGCGATGCTACAAATATCGCCTGCAAAAATGCTCACTACTTAGCTTTGAAGTGAGATGAAGGTAGAGAGCCTACGGAATTAGAAAGCTCTCCCAGTAGGTGTGGTTAGGCCATATATATATTTGAAATACTATCAGTATTTAAGACAATAACTCTGATTATTAATTTACAAAATTTTGCGGTATCAATTGTAAAATGTAGTACCAAGTTACAACGGCATAGTGATTCGTAAAAAGTACTATAAACTTACTTAATTCTTCGTCTTTAATAGACTGCATATTAGCTGGTAAACGATTAATAATTGTAGTTTTCAAATATTCTCGAATACTATTTGAATATCTAAAATAATGATAATTAGTTAACTGATTCTTTCATTCTGATAATAATTAAAAAACAAACAAACAGAAAACCACTGAAAATTTACGATTTTGCAAAAAGATATTCTTCCACTGTCAAATGTGGTGATTCATTTGAATTACGTGAACGTTCTTCAGCTAAAATATGTTCAGCAAATCGTTCAATCTATTAAATAGAAGTAATATAAGAATAAACAGAAATAAACACTGAATAACAAGTTCAAAAGCATGTTGAAAGGTTTTCTTATTCAATGGTTGCATATAATATGATGCGATTATAATATGATTATTGAAAATTCGCTTTGTTATAAGCTAATAACATATCATAAAGCAAATAATGTTCATACTTCAAAAAAAATCCCCTTTTGCGTCTTACTACTTTGTACATAATTTATGATAATCAAGATATAATTCATTGCATTGAGTGATTGACTTCCAGTCACTAGGTAGTGTGTACTAGTCTGAGATATGCCTTTTATTTTTAAAGATTCGATAAGTCATAAACTATCATTCATAATTAAGCTCACAAATCTGTATTTGATAAGTGAGTTTCTTCGCAGACATTTTATGCATCAACAAATGTCTACATACATATCAACTCTAAGGAAAATGGAGAATAAATCACAAAAACGTGTTTGGAAAGAATTGAAGATGAAAGTAATATGGTTTAACTGATATATAGAAGGCTAAATTGATTTCCATTTCAAAAAGATAATATTGTGTTGTGTCAATCGAATTTATAACTAGTAAGATTAAATAGATCTTTGAAGGAATGCACAGATATATCAAGTGTATAAAATGATTTAGATTGTGACCTATAAGACATTTCATATTTACTTGTTTTGTTGATAAAATCCATATAATTTACGTGACATATTTGATTAATTACTGGATAGTATATGAAGAATTTAATGTTGAGGTTCATGCGATTATCGTAATCAATGTTTGGAGACGTTGGATAATATGGCTTAGAATCGGTTGCAATAGCCCAGACATATTCACTTTATGTCTTCTCGCAGATTTTTGAGCTTTAAAATTATCTTATGCATTATATTCAGCGAATTAACTTTTACGTATAATATTACTTCTATTATAGTGTTTGTCTTGATAATCTTATCTTGATATACTGACATAATCTGGCAACTTGACCTGATGAATACATACATGAAATTCTATGTTGCTTATGACTGACTGATTAGACCAATAAAGTGTAAAATTTAGGTTATAACACAATAGAATTCCAAGAATTGAACGTTACCATATAAATTATACGTGTCCAATATATGACATTGTTTCACTAGCAAGATAATTCAAACGCATTTATACCAACGAACACAATAATAAGAGAATAATGTTAGGAATACAGAATTTCCGTTCACGACAGACTACTAACATGAGAACATTAGAATTTGAACTATAAAATGGGGTGATAAAACTTTAGAATTTTTCTAGCTATACTGTATACACATGACCAGAGACAACCATGGAAACATGACAAACTTTATCAATATGACATCATTTTATAAAGACTAATCATTACAACAAATGACTTTTTAAAATAATCAAACACGGAATCACTTTCCATGTTACCTTTTTCATTCGAATACGCATGTAATCAACCATGATAAATCGGATTCTTTCAACCTGTTACCAAGAAAAAAAATGAGAAAGAGGGAGGGTAACACAAGATTGTCTACTAATACTGCTATCATATTCACTAATCAGTAGTGAAATACTGTACGAGAACAAAGGAATCGAATGAATAATGTTTAGGTTAAATAAAAAGTGAAATAGTCCATGACTTTGGTAATTTATAGCAACTGAATAGTATGCTACATCCCAGACCCCACTAACATCAATTTCATTGTCATTATGATCAAAGTAGAAATAATATGAGGACGTGCAAGAAGTCATATTATTATACTACAGATACCACTTAAGAAAATTCTAAGCGTTCTGGGTAGTGTTTTTCAGACAGCCAAAATCTGTGGTCCAATACTATGCAATATGACTGAAAATCGATTGAAGTAATTCGATACGTCTATCTTATTATTTTAAACTTTACTCTGGTCAACAATCTTTATTTGCATTCACCACATTCTTTTTTTCCTATATACAAGAAAATAACTTATTCCCATGTACTCTTATTGTAACGTAATTTACTCTATGTGTTAGCCTAAATGACGTAAGTAACTTATCACTAACGACTTTACTCTTTCTTCATAAATTATCCATTCGCTGCTTACTTGAATTCGTTTAATTTGAGCTTTTAAATCACCAGCTGGTAAGGCTTTAGCTTCAGCTTCCAATTGATTCACTTCAGCTTGAATAAGACCTAACAGGTCAGAATGTGCAGTTAATAGTACAGGAGCAAGTTTTTCATTTTGCCATATCTGTTGTGATGCGTTAAATAAAATGCGAAAATTAAAACATAAAAAACTGGATGATTTCTAAGGAAAAAAACAAACTCCTTTTTTGAGATAATAAAGTGTGGCGAGTACGAATAGTTGCTTTTAGTGGTGTTGTGTTCCCTGAGCTGGATGATTTAGCTACACAGCTTTGGTTATTGTTCTGGACAACATTATTAGCGTCTAATTTATTTACCATGTACTTGGGTATGAATCACAATAGGTGTGAGGGCGAATGATACTGCTTGGTTACGTAAACCGAGGTAGGTAGAGCCGATTTCGAATCAGGAACTTGATGTCTGAAAATCGAGTGCCCTAAACAATAAGCCAACGCTTCACTCGTTAGTGTCTACTTTAAACAGACAATCAATAGTAAACAAAATTTTCAGGACAGAACTATCTGCGACTCTTTAGAAGTCAGCTTCTATTCGAGCAGAGACCGAATAATCTTAACGAAATTAATTGTAGCTTTGCAATTCAACCATCCAAATGACGGAAGACAAAAACAAAATATAAAGTTCTCGAGAGATATGCCAATAGCCTAAAGACAATAAAACACATCACATCCAGGACATCATGGTTTTTAAGTCAAATGGAGTTGAAGACTATCGGGAAGAAGTTTGCTGGGACATAGTAATCTAATAGCATGCATATTTTTAGTGAGTCATATTCTTTTGAAGACTTGAATATTTACACCGAAGATGGATTATCATAAATATGCTTGAAACGTAATGAATCATTCTTAAAATTGGAGTCAAGTGAGAACGATGGTATGATGCTACAAGTACGTCACAGATGTCTGGAGCACTTTCTACAACATTGTCTGCTAATATAATGCGTAAAGTGGCACTATTTCTTTACTGCTTAATAGGTTACTAAATTAGATCATGTAAAATAAAACTATGCAAAAACAGAAAGTATGTCAACTCTTACTTAGGCAGAACACCAAGTTAAAACGCATAAAACGAACCTTATAAAAACGTTTCAGTAATTCAGCGGATGTAAGCAACTCTTCATCAGAGTGATTTTCCTCATCTGAATCGCCAATAATTTCATCGATATCCGGTGCTAGAGGACCAGTGGTACCTATATTATTATTACTATAGAGAGCCTGAAATTATGTGAAATTAATGGGTAAAAATGATTTTTAAAGCAATCGAAGGATTAGAATATCTATAATAATAGATCAGTAACATTCAAAGAACCATGTAGAATGTGTTACAGAGATGTACAGATATATGCAGGAATCAAACTGCTGATGATCATAACCAACCGATATTACGTTTTTATCAAGAAAGATATCCTTTGAATGGAGTTCACCTCTTATTTATTCGAATGATTTGTTTGTGATAATGTTTAATGTTTTGAACGATATATTTCTAACCTACTCACGCCTGTTACCCCTCGTGGAGGAGCACAGGCCGCCCACCAGCATTTTCCACCGAACTCTGTCAAGGGTAACCCTTTCCAGTTGCTATTTATCCTCTTCATGTCTAATTTCAGTTGCCGGCACAGGTAATTATAACTAGTCAGACTTTGTTATAAACACACACTTTCTTTAGTTCGTCCTTATGTTTACCGAATGAATAGTGATATCTAGAATTTCTGATCCATAGATTATTTTCACCACGCTATGTTTCTTTAAATTCAAGATCATTAAACACCTCATTCGTGATACTTGAAACCCTTAAACGCCTTATGTCGTAAACTCTTTTTATCATACTATAAAGTAATTTAACTCCGCCTGTAGCTCTTCCAGAGTTACTGCCGGTCCCAACCCGGATTAAAAGAGGAGGGTTGGGCATGGGGTTAGCGACCCCATCCTGTAGAAAACTAACTCGCTAAAAAACGCCTACCAGAAAAAATAATTCAAACCATTTAAACTCCGCCCTGGGAGTTAGAAGGTCTTCATTTAGAAGAATTATAACGCTTCATGGTGAAAGCCGAGTTCCTTCGGAAGCCACGAGACCGATGCACCTTCTAACAACCACAGCAACAATTTTTATAGGTACATGGAACGTCCGAACAATGTGGGAGACCGGGAAGACTAGTCAAATAGCAAAGGAAATGAGGAGATACAATTTGGCAGTACTGGGAATCAGCGAAACCCATTGGACCCAAGCTGGACAGCGAAGGCTTAATACGGGAGAGATGCTACTATACTCCGGTCATGAAGAGGAAAATGCTCCACACACTCAGGGAGTTGCTCTAATGCTGTCCAGAGTAGCACGAAATGCACTAGTAGGATGGGAATCTCACGGATCCAGAATCATCAAAGCATCATTCAAAACAAAGAAGGAGGGGGTCACAATGAATATTATCCAATGTTATGCACCCACCAATGATAGCAACGACGACATTAAAGATCAATTCTACGAGCGGCTGAAATCAATCATAGAGAAGTGCCCAAGAAACGACCTCACCATTCTGATGGGAGATCTAAATGCCAAAGTTGGGATAGACAACACCGGATATGAAGATATCATGGGACGACATGGATTGACTGGGAGAGAGAAACGAAAATGGAGAAAGATTTGCAAATCTGTGTGCATTCAACAAATTGGTCATAGGAGGCACAATATTTCCACACAAGCGTATACACAAAGCTACATGGATCTCACCGGACCACACTAAAGAGAACCAGATAGATCATATTTGCATCAATAAAAAGTTCCGAAGAACAATGGAAGATGTATGAACCAGGAGAGGAGCTGACATAGCTTCAGATCACCACCTAGTTGTGGCCAATTTAAAACTGAAGCTAAAGAAGAACTGGACAACTGGACAAACAGCAATACAAAGGTTCAATTAAGACTACCTACGAGATACTGACAAATTCAACGAATTCAAGATAATTCTCAACAACAGGTTCCAAGCCTTACAGGATCTACTGAAAGAAGAAGAAACTACTATGGAGGACAACTGGAAAGGTATCAAAGAAGCATTAACTTCAACATATCAGTAGGTTCCGGGCCGCAAGAAGAATCACCATAATGAATGAATCTCCATCGAAACCCAAGGCAGGATTCAAGAAAAGAAGATCAAGAAGAAAACAATTAACAACAGTTGAACAAGAACAGAGAAAGTCATGGCACAAGCTGAATACGCTGAAGCAAACAAGCAAGTGAAGAAGAGTATTAGAGCCGACAAGCAGAAATACGTGGAAGAACTAGCAACGACGGTGGAAAAAGCTGCAAGAGAAGGAAATATGAAACAGCTTTACGATACAACGAAGAAATTAACAGGGAAATATAGTAAACCAGAGAGACCGGTCAAAGACAAAGAAGGCAGGCCAATCACTGAAATTCAACAACAGCGGAACAGATGGGTAGAGTACTTCGAGGAACTCCCAAATAGGCCGGCCGGCTTCAATGAATCCACCGGACATCGAAGCAGCACACACAGATATTCCTATAGATGTCAATCCACCAACGACAGAAGAAACCGGAATGGCCATCAAACAAATCAAGAGCGGGAAAGCAGCAGGACCTAACAACATACCAGCTGAAACACTGAAGTCAGACATCGAAGTAACTACAAACATGCTTCACCCCCTATTCAAAAAGATTTGGGACCAGGGACAAGTGCCGATGGACTGGAAAGAAGGACACCTCATCAAGATTCCAAAGAAAGGAGATCTGAGCAAATGTGAAAACTACAGAGGTATTACACTACTGTCAATACCAGGGAGTCTTCAACAGAGTGCTGCTGAACCGGATGAAGGATGCAGTAGACGCCCAACTTCGAGATCAACAAGCTGGATTCCGTAAGGATCGGTCGTGCACAGACCAAATTGCAACACTACGGATCATCGTCGAACAATCAATTGAGTGGAACTCATCACTATACATCAACTTCATTGATTATGAAAAGGCATTCGACAGTGTAGATAGGAGGATATTATGGAAACTTCTTCGACACTACGGAGTTCCTGAGAAGATTGTCAATATTATCCGGAACTCATACGACGGAATACAGTGCAAGGTCGTGCATGGAGGACAGCTGACAGATGCATTCCAAGTAAGAACCGGAGTCAGAAAAGGCTGTTTACTCTCTCCCGTCCTCTTTCTTCTGGTGGTCGACTGGATTATGAAGACCTCGACATCTGAGGGAAAACACGGAATACAATGGACAGCTCAGAATCAACTGGACGATTTGGACTTTGCAGATGACCTAGCCCTCGTATCCAATACACACGAACAAATGCAGATAAAGACAGCCAGTGTAGCAGCAGTCTCTGCATCAGTAGGCCTCAACATACACAAGGGGAAAACTAAGTTCCTCAAATACAACACAGAGAACAGCAATCCAATCACTCTTGATGAAGGAACTCTGGAAGATGTAGAATCTTTCACATACCTGGGAAGGAGGTTCAGATGCAGACGTAAAGGTGAGGATTGGTAAAGCAAGGGCCGCATTCCTACAATTGAAGAACATATAGAACTCAAAACAACTTTCAACCAATATCCAAGTCAGAATCTTCAATACGAACGTCAAGGCAGTTCTACTGTACGGAGCCGAAACCTGGGGAACTACTACAACCATCATCAAGAAGGTACAAGTATTTATAAATAGTTTTCTACGCAAGGTACTCAACATTCATTGGCCGGATACCATCAGCAACAGCCTTTTGTGGGAGAGAACAGACCAGCTTCCAGCTGAAGAGGAAATTAGGAAAAGACTATGGAAATGGATAGGACATACAATACGCAAATCGTCAAACTGCATCACGAGGCAAGCCCTAACTTGGAATCCTGAAGGCGGAAAAGAGGAAGGCCAAAGAACACATTACGTCGGTAAATAGAAGCAGATATGAAAAGGATAAATAACAACTGGAAAGAGCTGGAAAGGATTGCCCAGGACAGGGTTGGATGGAGAATGCTGGTGAGCAGCCTATGCTCCTTCACGAGGAGTAACAGACGTAAGTAAAAGCAATAAACTGATTTATTTGTTAAACGATTATAAATGTACTTTTACAGCCTCAATAAAGGATGTCATCGAAAAGAGAATTTTCTCCAATGAATTATCTTTACTTTCTCTTCAGTAACTAAATAGGTTTTTATTTTGTATTCATCAGACAGACAGAGATGGATATGCATATCTGTACCAGTGTTAGTTAGTCCCTTTAATGGTAATCATACTATGTACTAGCATAACAACTATCAAAGAAATAGAAAGATGAAACCTATTGACAATGCTTATCAGTAGATAGACAATTTAAAAAAAATGAAAATTCAAGTCATAGATTGCTCTCAGTTGAACAGCTGATGAAAACCAGTAAGCACTGAATAGCTGCTTTTATCTAGTATGGAAATTTTTATTAATTGAAGTTAGACATAAACATAATTGATTCTTGGCCCAGTGGTTTGAAGATTAAGTACTGGTCATGATACCTGAAGGTCCTGGATTTGACCCCCTATCGGACCATGAGAACGCACGATTGGACGAAATAGCTATCCGATGCTTCATGGTTTTCAACGGTTGTCTAAGATCAGTTTATGATACACTTTGAAATTCAACAATTGCCACAAACTTCCTATGATGAAAAAATTAGTTGTACTGACAAAGTATCATGTTTTATTTAATTATCATTTTGTACAAAATAGAAGTAAAAAAAGATAATCATACTAGTAAAGTTAGTTGTTTTAGATTGTTGTCTCTTTCTTACTATTTCACAACAATTTTCGGTGCCAATTTTCGTATTACTTGAACAGTACATGGAGCTGGTGGTTTTCCAGCTAACTGATAAGTTTGACTACACTCATCAAAAGAATATGTGAAACGTGAACGTCCATCAGGTGGTTTCAATGAATGCACAGATTTTAAATGATGTGTAATTGTAAATGGTTTACGCGCTTGATAAGATGAACAAAGATGACAAGAATACCATAAACCATCAGGGTTACTACTTAGATGATAACGTCTATAATGAGCACGATAAGCGGATAATTTTGTAGATTTATAAGAACAACCTTGAACTTGACAATAAAATTCATAGTTTTCTTCTGATGATTTATTAATCGAAGCTATTTTAAAATATGGTTTAGAAACCTGTTTACGAGAAAGTGAAATACAATCCAATTTCTTAGTGTTAACAGCAGTCTCTTTGTTCAATGAATTTGAGCATTCACGTATATGAGAAGTCCAACCTTCCTTAGTAATAAAGACTTTTATACACGTTGGGCATTGAAATATAGTTGTACCTTCAAGATGTTTTGGAAAAGGCGAAGATTCATCCATTAACTTCAATAATATTGGGCAATTGGTACTATTTTCATCTGAAACAGGAAATATATATATATATATATATATATATATATGCTATTGATTTGCTTCCCATGAATAAATCATTACTAGGTCTTTGAGTTTCTGTTATGAAGTCGAATTATTTGCGTTATTCATTTCAGTCGGTATACTAGAGAACAGCGGTTCGATGAAATCTTATGGATTGCTTTAAAAGCTGAATTTACATTGATATGGTATAAACTAGATGTGTTGAAACAGAGTTTCTTAATGTTATTCTCTTGTAGTTTGGCAAACCGACTATGCTTTTAGAATCCGGATCGTAATACGCGGCAAAAGCCATAAGAGTAAATATCAATAAATCTAATCTCTGTATACAGAGAAAGTTTGTACAGTCTCTTAATTTACTCTGGATTTCTTCTACTTAGTTACTATTGCCTTTCATAAAATTACTTAAAATTTTTGGGACATTTTGATGTAATCTTACGCAATGTGTTTAAGAATCATAATTGCCTAATTTTCAGTGCATTTTCTTTTATTAATTAAGCTCTTTATTAATCTGACAGATAATATAAAACATTTCTATTTACATCAAAGTTTAACTACTTATATAATTAGTTGTGATAATTAAGTGATTATGAAATTTCACCTTAGTTTTAATTGAAATTTTGCAATCATTTTGTTTCTAACCGATTACCATGTTGTTTAATAAACTTATCACTATTTATTTGATAATGACTCTATATGTAATTGTAAAACCTAGATATTGGAGTAGAGCCTTGATGAGAGACTGATTGAAAACGAATATTTCGTTCAACTAGTATTATGATCGACAATTATCTAAGACTTATGTATATATTTAATTGAATTTCGTTCTCACAAATATCCAAATACACTGGCTGGTTTGATGAAAGATAATATTGTGGAGACAAAACATTAATTAATGCTTAAACATTAAATTTTAACATAATAAAAGAAATGTTTAGTGGTAAAAAGAAAATACCTGTTCCATTAAATTTGACCACATTCTGACAATCTTTAACTAAACTCCATGTAAAATGCTCCTTAAAATTGATAAATTCTGCAAAACACACATAACATTTAGAACAGATGTAACGTGGTAATCCAGTATGACGACGTACATGACGATGAAAATGTGAACGACATCCGCTTATAGAACCACATATTGACTGATCTGAGATGGTCAATGAATCCACACTCAATGATTGCCATAAACAAGTTAGTTTAGTATTACTATTATCATCTTTATCGTCACAATCATCATTATTTTTATCATTACCATACGGAAAATCATGCTCCTTAACATGCTCGATGAATAGATATGCTGAATTCGTACTAAATAATAAAGAACAACCAATAGGGGAATGAAGGTAGATAATAATGTCCTGCTAATTAACTGAAATTAATCATCCAAAGAGTCGAGGTTACAGTTCTATACTTTCAAGTAATCACTAACAGGAAACTTTATGCTTTCTCAAATATTTGTAAATATATTAGTTTGTGCCGTAGAGACGACGTTACGCTAAGTGATCCATCTTCTGACTGACTGACTGACTCACTGCAGTATTCAATCACCTGCAGACAAACATTGAAATCTAAAGTCCAAATTTTAATGTCGATTGTTTTTAATCACATAACATGAGATAAAGTCTAATGATTTCACTGAAAAATCTATCGGTAGGACCTAGGTGCCCTAGGTCAAAGTCTGTTGGTCACCATTAAATTGGCAAGTCAGTGAACATTAGGATCATATGCACATAGAAATACCGAGCTGAAAGAAATAGAATAAATCAGTTAACATGGGGTCTCAATACAATTAATTTTGTTCCATAAGACGTTAAATAATCGTAGTAATAAAATATAGTGGACTAATAATAACATTACAGTGATTCATTTGTGTAATAAGCTACAAACTTGCAACTACGACTTTCAGTCAGTCAGTCAGTAACAACGTAGAACTTCGTACGTACGTACATCAGTTCGAGTTGCCATACCACATTAACACAGAGATGCAGTTGTCGATTTAAATCCCATCGTGGTAGAGGTAGTAAAAGTATAAGAAGTAATCGGAAAAATTAGGGTTTGAAGATGTTAGTCAAGGAGTATAATTACAATGAACGAGACGAATTTCTGAGCTCCTACTTCCCTGCCTACTAGCTAGAGATAGAAGTCAAACTTTTTTTCAGATTTACTCCACTAACGAGAAAGATAATCCAGAGTATAACTGTCAAGTATAAATATATTTATAATGTTGGTGAGACTATAATTTATGGCTGACCTTGAGCGACGCTAAAGTGACCTTGGGATGACTCGCCTAATTACTAGGATCAAAAGAGGGCCATAAATTAGGATTAAGATTTAAAGTTAGAATTTAAGGTTAACGATTAAAGTGGGGGTTCTCATCACGAGCTGACATCAGCTATAATCCCACAATGCTACTTAACTACGTGAACGAATGAATTTCGCGTCCAAGTCCAAGACTTGCTATCTTTCCTTTCATTGTTTGGTCCATGAATTATAGTCTCGCCACAATGCCTTTCGTGATACAGTGATGAAACAACGTACTAAAACGTAAGCAAATCAATAGGGTAAAAGAGCACTTTTAAACAGAGAAAAGGAAAAACTAATAATACGGAAAATTTAGGCGAGAAAAACGCAAAATCCAAATCATGTAAAATAAGTTAATATAAAAATCAGTTGTAGAGATTATTTCCGATATTTACAATCCTCAATACGGTGAAACCCTGGAAACTTTAGAAGTATTATTTCATAAGCAGAGTACCGAATTCAAGTGTTCACCATCTCTTCTAGCAACTAAATACACTTTAGATAAATGAGGAGAGGGTAATTACAAGCTAGATCCAGAAAGTCGCTCCATAAAATGCTGAGCAGATAAGCGAAATCTACACTTTTAAAGTACCAGATGGTTTGTTAGAAGTTATTCATATACTTGAGTTGCAACACTTCAAGTGTAGATAAGACAAACGTTGAGTAATTATTCGAACTGTTAACTAACATTTAGTAAGGTGAATTGGATGCTAATAATAACATCACCAGCAAATGGTGTATAACAAATGAAGTGTAATTATGAGTAAATATTTCCTTTATATGCATCACTTCATGAAATTATCAACTGTTGAATCGAACCGTATAGGTAAAAGCAAACTACCTAGTTGGGATTCACGCAATTATTGTAACCGATGCTTGGGGATGTTGAATGACAATGCTTTGAATCGATTCCGATGAAGCAGATATTTTCACTTTTCGTCTTAAAATACATTTTATTTGGCGAATCCATTCATTTTTCTCGAATTATATTTTCTATACGCAACCTGTTCTACTACCAATGATGTGGTTACCAGTTCTATTATGGAATTTCAATAATTTCATCACTCTGTATTATGTACTATGGCAACTTGAACCGACACACATATGTCCCGAGTTCTACGTTGGTGAGATTGCAGTTAACACATAAAATTGACTAGAGTACTAAAATAAGACAAAGGGATACTGAAAAAAACGACTGAAACTAAATTCTCACTCAGAAGAATGTCTATTCTTTATCGTTTTGCCCTTAAAATACAATTTTTTTCCATACTCGACGATAAAGTTCGAAAGTGTGAAATAATAGCTAGTTAATGAGACAAAAATTTCGGACTTCATAAAGTGCCCTTTCTTTCTATTGATATCAAGTACAGTACATTGAAATAGATATATTACATTATTATCATCTGATCATCTCTGAGTGTTGTATGTATTATCAAGTTGATGAGTTAATTCAATTAATCAACAAAAATAATTGAAATACGAAGGAAAAAATTGAAAAAATTACGTGTATTCACAGTCTTTCCATTGACATTCGAAACCTCTATTCAAAATTATGGTATTCCATAAGAATGTTTCTGTTGTTCGTTGAAGATACGCAGGTTTCTGACAACTTATTCCACAACATACAAAATTCCAAGCCTTATGATGGGCTTTAAGAAGCTTATTAGTATTTACTATGCAATCTTCAAAAAATATATGTAGAAGTGTATGACGCAATAACTGATTTTGTTCCTGGAATGTATCCTTTTTCTGGCAAGAATCCCATAGACAGACAAGCTCAGGTACATTATTCAAGTGGCATTCAAGGAAATGTACATGTAATCGAATATAGTTGGGGAAAGATTGACAACAATTATGCCATCTACATTGAAGTAGTAATTCTTCATCTGTAAGAAAATTATTAAAAGGGTAATGCAAGTAAAAGGACGAATATATACACAAAATTAATTTTAACATAAAATGTAGATAAACTACTATAAAATGACCAGTTATATTGAATAATCTCACCATCCCGAAATGTAATAATCTTATAATAGCTGAAACAACATATATTAGCTTATGAATATATTTCAATAATGCAATGAGAAGACGAAATTTATCAAAAGGACTAATCGTTTTAAACTTATGCATATATTGAATAACTTTACGTCAAAAAATCTCTAAAATACTATTTACAGTAGATGGTAAATCAGTCATTTGGTCATCATCAACGTAGAGCCTGGCAAAGATCTGAGTTGGCCCAAGTTTTCATACCACATTAACATGACGAGATAAAAATAACAAGAATTGTAATGTAGTGGAAATAATGATGAAGATTAAACATTGAGAATATAATAAATATATTTTTGTTATATCTAAATAAGTAGAAAAATTGTATTTCTGACGTTTCGTGACTTAATCTATGCCACTTCTTCAGTAGATGTATATAACAAAAATATACTTATTATTAACTTTATACCCAATGCTCAATTTATCTGAAATTATAAAGTTCAACCTTGGTACTGATACCTATAAACTCATTGAGAATATGGTTTAAAAGGGTATATATGAAGGAACACTGAAACTCAAGACCTAGAGGAAGATAAATAGAGAATTGATATCCACTATTATGGATGATTTTAAGCTATATCACTCAAGGTCTCCAACCACTGAATGTGGTTATTACGTAGTCACTAATCACATAATCTGAAATTACCAAAAAGGCTCACACCAATAGTGAATGGCTTTATGGACTGATTTAATGTCGTGCCCATCTCTAGCTTTCTCTAACCCACTTCAACATCAGTAAACATATAATGCAAGATAGGACATGTTTAAGGATAAGTATTACATGCTCTATCTACCTCAATCAATGAAGATTTAAAATTTTGCCCACCGATATTCCATCATTCCCTAATACCCTTGCGTTTAATCCCAACAATGACCACTCGGTTTTTTCACAAAACGCGAGCAATGCATCGAAAACGCTTATAAAAAACGTGCAACCAATACATGTATTCTGCTCTCAAAGTCTGTTTCGCAGCCGTAAATTAGAACAGAATGGACAGCTGTGTGGTATACATGTCCCTTGGTTAGTAAACGATGGGATCCGTTCAGTAATGTAAAAAATTCCAGATCATAAACACATTCGCCGTTCGTTGCCATGTCGACTCAAAGTCTAATAAAACTTTGTTATCTCATGGATGTTTTTTAATCGAGAGTAATCGTTGTAACAGTCATCGCCATGATCACTAAGGGAGTAGTCCCAAGTCACTACAAAAGCATGGTGAAAAAAAGGAACTATAAAAGGTAGAGAAGACAATCAATACCAAGATTTTAGTGATACTTATAAAAGCGACTCACCATCTTCTGCTTTCATCTGTGACTATAATATTTATTACTGGTACAAATGCAGAAATCTAAAAAGAAAAATCATAAATCTCAACCGACTACGAGAAAACGTATAAAATGAAATATGTGGGAAGCATTTGTTGAGACCCTTTAAGAGTTGGAAGTGATACGATAAATATCAATAGGCTGGTTAGAGATTAAACTTATGCGCTCATCCCTAGTGAGTTGTAAGTTATGAAAAAGCATCAGTTGAGTAAAACGGAGTCTTATCGATCATATCTAGTTACTAGATACATACACTGATTCTAAAATTTGGTTTTACCATTTCAAATTACAGTGGTAATATTCTCAACAATCCCAACCAAAAGCTAATTTTCATAACCAACACTGTCCTTGATATTTTGAAGCGATCGAAAAACCAATCAGTAATGTTGGGAAAAAATTACAGACCGTAGTAGGCCAGTATGGTACACAATGATCATTGTTATTTTTAGTTGAGTACTAACAACTATGAAGCAAACTTCAAAACTGAGTTTATGGCTGATTGATAAGGATTTAAATGTTAAGATATACAAATGCTCTATTCTAGGGATGAACCCTATGCAACTTCGGGCACCTGATATTAAGTACTGTCTACTTTCTTCATTATCTGAAATAATTAACAAAATCTTACCCAGGCTTAGATGATACAGATCTGATTATGTTAGTACTACGGAATATTACCGTGGTCAGTAGATAAAATGTTAATTTTCCTTGAAAATAACGAAACAAAAACAGCATCCAACTGTAGAGATAATAGTGACTTAATGGCTAAAACACCTGATTTTCCGTGATAAATACAACTAGAAATACATATTAGTAAATAATACTATAGAACATATGTTACCATAACGTATCTGGCCTAAGTATTTGCTTTCATACGAATCCAACAATATTATCAAACTCTTGAGTCTATTTTACGCTTGTAGTTAATTATCTCAAAGACACTTCTATATCTACCATGAGACATGGAACAGCTTCGCCTTACTTAATAGCTACTTCATGAACTCTAAATATTTATCATCTTCAAGCCTACAGTTCAAAGTTCATACCTGCAAACTAATTGCAAAACACCTAAATATTTTATCAGTAGCAGAAACGCTATAACTATTTTTGATTTAACTGGAAATAAACATCCACACCAACAGCCGATTAATTCGTTTCCACATAGTTTTCAGTTTTGTGAACATAAATGTCAATTATTCACAGTGATCAACCCCCTAATTCACCTCCTATATCTTTTCTCCGACATCTCAATAGAAATATCTTTTTGGATTATGACTAGCATTGAGATTCGCAATGCGCGTTTCGCTTTATCTAGGACTTGTCAAGTTTATGTACTTGCATCCTAGTATAAATGTTCATACTGAAACTGAACCAGCACCTATAGCCTCAAATACTAAAACATTACATTGAGACCAGATAGGTACTAACTTGTTCAACAGGTATGATGTGCATCATTCGTCAGTCATCATGAACATACATCCCGGTACAGATATGTGTTAGCCCAAGTTTCCATACCACATTTGCGCAACGAGATGATATTATATCATCTATAATAGTCTACTTTTCCTCATTATTGATATTCAGGGGTAAATTATGATTAACCTTTGCTGGTATTTGTGTTCCCTGGAGGTAAACCTCGAAAATGCGTATAATGACAAGTTTTGTCACCTTAACAAATAAATTTTAAAAAAAAATTTTTGTTAACCTCTTTTGAAGTCCATTTTAAAGAGGACAAATATTATACTTGAATAGTTCCGTGATTAGAAGACATACATCGTCATAAATGTTGCGATAGTGCAGGACTGTTCATATTAGAACAGGTAGGAATTGAGGGGCACAACATCCTAGCCTTTTTGTTAAGATTATAATTTATAAGGAAGCTATTATATACGAGACATGTCCAAGCAATTATGACTGGGACTCTATTGGTAATCAAACAAGCACGTGTAAGAGGTAGAGAGGATTTTGTATACTCATTATTACTAAAGAATTTTATTTCTAAAGGATTAAAAAACGAAATTTATTTTTTTGCTTAGTGGGAAATATACGAATTTCTAGTAATGGTGAATGCCATTTACCCAATGCCCAAGTTTTTTAAAACCATCAAATCTGAACTCTCTTTGGACATTTTTACCATTAAAGATACCAAAACTTTTATAACCCCATTAATGGACTGCACTAGACTTTCTGCATCCCAATTGTGATGCATCTATATGAATCAGATATTAGGATTATAACTATAATTACATACATAAAAATCTGATCCATAAGTGAACATCAGTAAGGGTACCAAGATATAGCTCTGTTGAAATGTGTTGTAGGCGTTGAACAATACACATTTGTTCATAACTAGATCCAGGAACAGTAAAGTGGGAAATGAATTACTAATCTAAAATAATAGTCAGATTCAAAAGTGTAAGATTAAATCTTGATATATGACACAAATCATCTAAGATAAGTCTCATGATAAATTACTAAAAAGTTGAGTAGCAAAGAAATTGGCCGCCAGTAATAGAATAAAATGATTTAATTCTATGATCGGGTCACCCTGCCTAGGGATACTAATAAAAAGTTCTAGATTCAACTGAACGATCACTCTTGTTTTACAAAAAGCGATGCGTAAGCAACAGCAAAAAGTTCATTCCAAGCTTTCGCCTCGGGTTGAACATATTTTCAACTCAGTGAGACGATGAACTACTGAAAACAAAGCATACATTCGACGGCAGTTTAGTCATCATTCGACCAATGCTCTAAATATCTAAAATAAGGCCAATCAGTTTCCTATAAATACTCCTCACAATAATGTTACTTACTTTCATCACAATGAGTAGAAAATTGGATTTTCTGACGTTTCGTGACTTAGTGTAAGTCACTTCTTCAGAGAATAAATAACCAAATTAAAATTAATCTCTGAAGAAGTGACTTACACTAAGTCACGAAACGTCAGAAAATCCAATTTTCTACTCACTGGGATATTACAAATATATTACTTTTATTTATAACAATCAACCCAATGCTCAATTTATTCGAAATTATCAAATCAAACCTTGGTAATGACACCTACTTTCATCACAGTCCAACTACTGATAAAACCACAGTAACTGTCTTTAATCTTGCCACCCCACTAGTCATTTCACTGACTTCATCTCGCTGTGGTGACAATGCATAGAAACTTGGACCGACATATATTTGGACTAGGCTTTATTTTCATTATGACTGACTGAATGACCCAAGCTGACCCATTTAACATCCCAAGACCTCGAGATACGGTGTGGCTCAGTTGGATTATTACGAAAAGCAAGCACACCCAACATATCAAGACGACTCTCATGTTCAGAAAACCACAATTTCGCAAAATACAAATAAGCATACCAAGATTGTGAAATATTAGATTTTTACTTAATACAGGATTAAGAAAAACACAGGCTATAATGTTACTGAAAAGACGTTTAAACTGGAAAACTTTTATTTTTAATTTAGAATTTAATCTACGTCTTTAGTAATACAAACGATGTACAATACTGTCTAGTGAAACACAGTCCATAGAGAATAAGGCTGATACATAAACATATAGATGTCTTGTCTACAATAACTTTCAGTAAGTGCCCGACGGTAACTTCTCGTGGAAGTCAAAATTTAGAGATTCTTCAGCTGCAGTGGCCACTGTAAAGGCATTTAGTATGCTACATCTCAACTTACAGCTTTTATCCACAGCTTCTATGTATGTAGTTAATTTCCGTTTAAACGACTCAAGTGCCTCTATAGTATAATCAGACAATTCTGCCATTTCACCTGAGATTGAGTTAGGATCTATTTTCTGCATTTAACGAAAAGAAAACGTATTAATAAGTCCTACAAAACACAAATGCCATAAAAACATTAACTGTTACGTAATCTTTTTGTCCTATTTGTTTGAATGCATAAATATTGCATAACTATTGGTACAAGGAGACACCAAACATACACGCACCACACAAAACATCCGGTTTGTGTGAGGGCTGGGATACTACCCGAGCGCCCAAGCCGGAGGTGGTTTACTTAGGGGCCACACCCCACAAGTAGGTTGCGAATGTGGTCCACACTTCAGGACATTTTGCCGAACCCGACGTGTAAGATATTGTTACTAACTGACGACTAAATATAAACGAACCAACATCACAACTGCAATGTAAGTGGGAGAAGAACGTGAATTGACACGAACAGCTCATGCCGAGAGCTCCATTTTGGAGCTATTTCGGCACCATTTCAATTTTTTGAGACGCTGCAGCCTTAAAAACGGTAACACCAGGTAAAATCTTGAATAGGTACGATTAACATGCTGATAGTCCGTAAGCATCATTTAAAGGACTTAACTTCAATGAGTATATTTACCAGAAAAATATGGTTTCACACGCTGAATTTAACAAAAGACTTCATACACTGAGATATGACGACTTTTGCAAAACTTTATATACTTGGATTCTAACTTGAGGAAAACAAGCACGAAATCCAAGTCTATGCAGGAAAGTTTAGGCACCCATTCTCCTTATTTCGGGGAAACTTTTATCCGTTTTAGGGAAAACGCTACAGAAAACTTTAAGAAAAAGGAAGAAGAACCCCAAATTTCCACCAGATCTGGGGAAATTCCCTAAAACTTTGGGGAAGACTAATGTAATTTTGGGGAAACCCCAAGATTTTAACAAATGTTGAGTTCGCAAGAATTCATGAGTTAGATGTCTAGTCTCCTTATTTTGAAGACGTTTTGGAGGTTTTACTACCATTTCCCCTAAATTATTTATAGCAACATCCCCAAAACAGGTAAAATTTTCCCAGAAATCGGGAGATTAAGGGCTTAGTGAGAATATAGAATCAAAGCAATTTCGCACGTACCTCTTTTTTATGGCAATTAGTTTCTCCCTGGAGACTATGTACTCGACATAAGTAATTCATATAGTCAGGACATCTGACTGAAGAGACTCAACGAATACAGCAAAACTTACGATC